TCACCGCTTCGTCCACCGGGCCGCCGAACTCTTGCAACCCCTGCACGCCCTGCTCACTAACAAGGGCAAGAACTCCAAAGCGCCCGTCGCGTGGACGGACGCGACACGCCAGCGCTTCCGACACATCAAGGACGCCCTGGCCGCGGCGACGCACCTCGCGCACCAGGTCCCGGACGCGCCGCTCGCCCTCTTCGTCGACGCCTCAGACTGCGGAGTGGGCGCCGTCCTCCAACAGCACGTAGCTGGCGAGTGGCAGCCGCTAAGCTTCTTCTCTAAGACGCTTCAACCTGCAGAGAAGAAGTACAGCACGTTCGGGCGCGAGCTGCTCGCCATCTACCTGGCCGTCCGACACTTCAAGCACGCTATCGAAGGCCGGTCGGCAATTGTCTTTACGGACCACCGCCCACTGGTAACGGCCGTCGGCTCGTCGTCCGACCGCTACTCACCGCGAGAGGTCCGCCACCTGGACTATATCGGCCAGTTCGTGTCGGACATCCGCCATGTGCCTGGCAAAGACAACGTGGTCGCCGACACGCTGTCGCGCACGGTCTCGATGGTGGCCCAGCCGCGCCCCCCGCTCGCCGACTTCACTGCCATCGCCAAGGCCCAGTCCGAAGACGGCTCGCTGGAAGACCTCGAGGCCTCAGACACCTCACTGCGCCTGCGCCACATCCCGGTCGGCGATGGACTCCGTCTGCTCTGCGACGAGTCCACCGGATCGCCTCGGCCGGTCCTCCCAGAGGCGCTGCGCCGGCCCTTCGCCAAGGCTCTGCACGACCTGTCGCACCCTGGCGTCGAGGCCACCGTCAAGCTCGTCTCCAAGCGGTTCGTCTGGCCCGGCATGGATCGCGACGTGCGCCGCTGGACCCGAACCTGCCTCGCCTGCCAGCGCTGCAAGATCGGTCGGCACACCAAGTCCGACGTCGGCACCTTCCAGCCGCCTCAGCAACGCTTCGACCACGTCCATGTAGACCTCGTCGGCCCGATGCCTCCATCAAGAGGCCACTCGTACCTTCTGACGTGCGTCGACCGGTTCACTCGGTGGCCAGAAGCCATCCCGCTGCCAGACATTCGCACCACCACGGTGGCTCGAGCCTTCCTCGAGCACTGGATCGCCAGGTTCGGTGTTCCATCCATCATCACCACCGACCGCGGCGCTCAGTTCGAGTCTGCCCTCTGGTCGGAGCTTCAGCGGTTCCTCGGCTGCCAGCGGACTCGGACAACCAGCTACCACCCGGCCTGCAACGGCATGGTCGAGCGGTTCCACCGTCAGCTGAAGGCCAGCCTCCGTGCCCACCAAGCTGCCTCGTGGACAGACGTGCTGCCGCTGGTCATGCTGGGCATCCGCGCCACCATCAAGACCGACCTGCAAGCATCCCCAGCTGAACTGGTATACGGCTCTCCACTGCGACTCCCAGCCGAGTTCTTCGACAACAGCCGCACAGCAGACGCATCACCAGCCTCCTTCGTCAAGGACCTGCGACGCGCCATGGCTCAGCTTCGACCCACTCTGCCACGGACAACCAAGCGCGCCACGTACGTCCCGGAGGCGCTGAAGACGGCAAAGTACGTTTTCGTTCGGCGGGACGACCACCGTTACCCTCTGGACGCACCGTACGACGCACCGTTCCCAGTCATCAACAGGACAGACAAGACCATCACCATCCAACGGCGACAGCGACGCGACGTCATCACCATCGACCGTTGCAAGCCCGCCTTCATGGACGAGGTGCCGGATCAACCTCAGGAGCAGCCACAGCGCGCACCTGACGTGCAGTCACCGGCCGCCCAGACAGGCGGCCCGGAGCTCCTGCTCTATGACGACACTCCAGCCGCCGCACGTCCTGCACCGCCAACACCACGCCCGGCGCCAACGGAAGCACCAACAACAAGACCGACAACACCGCGACCAGCAGCGCCATCGCGGCCAGCATCGACCACGGACATCACCACGCCAGCACAGCCCAGATCGATTCTCCGCACTCGCTCCGGACGCGAGTCACGACCACCGGATCGATTTCGACACGTCACCTTCATCGGCGACGCGTCTAGGGAGGGGGCAGTGTAGTGACGAGCTGTGCCCGATCGCGTACACTGTAAAAAATGTTTACTAACACATTAGTTATTTATTCAACATAACGCTAGTGTCATAACACATATATGTGTTATAAGAGTGTAACCTGCAGGAAGAAAATGATTTAACGAGTTCTGAAACACGGGGTGTTGCAATCACCACACGGATACATTTGATTAACTCGTTGATGTGCTTCAAAACAAAGATAAAGTGTGTGCTGCGATGTGAGTTATTAAACACATACGCGTGTTTAAGACAACCCCGGCTCAAAAATCGAGAGACGTGTTATCAAACTTGCCTTCAGCGTGCCGATCAGTAACATTACACGTATTATGCTAGTAAACCATTACACGCAGCTAAGTTACTGCAACAATGTCGCCATTTTGTGCGGATCGCGCGCGCGACTCCGCCGCATTCATCTGAGGCCTGTTTGCGAAGTGGTGTCTCAAATGGTAAGTGAAGAAATATGATAAAATACCTATTGTCTAATGAAACTGTGTGATTTTCACATGCTTTACATGTATTTGTATTCATTGTGCATTACGATTATATAACTATGAAACATATCAACGGTCAAGGAAGGCATGCATGTGAATGGCAGTGTCAATAGACAATTTGCCATGTACAGCACATTAATTGCACATATAGATGATAAATTGGTTATGTTCTCCAGTCACAGGTAAAATATTTATTTCCTCCTACTCATCCAGTCTGCAAAATGTGGCAGGGAGCTTGACAAGATTTTCAGGGCAGACAAAATACTCAGAATGCTGAGACTCAGGGCAGCACAATTCCTGCCCCTAATAATGCAAATGATTTAACGCTATAATGATGTGGAAGGTGGTGAGGAGCTGAGCAAAGTATTTCTGTCCCAATTTTTCAACTTCTGCCCCAACATTCCTAAAACCTGCCCCAGTTTTTGCCCTGATCCATGATGACTGCTCCGATGAGATCTCGTCAAATCCTGCCATGTTTTGCAGACTGGCTACTCATGATAGAACAACCATTTTAGACTGAGGTGAGCAATAACAATGGGTATAGTTTAGTGTCAGAGGTACCTTATAGTTTTCAAAACAAGTTGATGGGCATAAAGAGCTGAGGCGAGCATTGTACCAAATATGGACATGCTGCATTTTTATATTTGGAAACGGAAGGTGCACGCTCACCTCCTTGACGAGCTACGCAAGTTCTTGCAAAACTATGCACAACACTGTTTCTAAAAATGAAAAGCTAACATTTGAATCTACGACAGATAGGTAGGTACAGGGGCCACTCCACGGTGTGACGACTGGAGGGGACATTGACCATTTTGGAGGGGACGAGGACCATTTCAAGTCTTCCATGCAACGCCATAGGCGTAATGTTAAAGTTTTAAAAAGTGGAGGGGATGAGATCCCCTCCGTCACACCCCTGTGGCGATGCCCTTGGGTAGGTACCATGGTTGGTGGGTCAAAATCCATGGTTAGATTTTTCCATGCCAGCCTGTGATATAAAATTTTAGGTTGTGATTGCAGATGGAGCGAAACTGGGATGAATGACGGAACACTTCCATAAATGTTTCCTTTCAAATATGATAGCCCAAACCTGGTTTGGGCTGATACTTAACTGACTTGGGCTTCACAAATATTTTTAACTTTGACAAAATTCACTCCACATTTTAACCCTCTTTATTTTCTGATGCCGCAATCAGCCATCCAGTTACATTACACATTTTGCTTGGAAATAAATCACCTGGAAGTTTTAGTTCAGAGTTTCCACTTATGACAATGCACGATGCAAGTCTCCATTTATGGATCAAAAACTTTTCATATTTAGAAATGTTTCCAAGAATAGAAGCATTTCCATAGATGGAACGAAACTACCTACCACAATGTGCCTCAGCCTGACTGCTGACCTGCAACCAATCTCAATCTAACATAAAAAATTGTTAGAACCACGCACAGCTTATTTAGGGGAAAAGTAATCACATGTGATCATGCTCCATGACCCACACTTAAAATACAAAGCAATCCACTTCATAAATGGATAAATGCTGAAATTCACGTGAAAATATGAAATCAAGGTCGGAGTTATATGGCCTTGCCATTACAGCGTTACCGCTGGTATTTTGCTGGTTTCCCCAGATTTCCACACAAATTTCCCTATTTCGGGCACTCATTTCCCTAGATGCTCATTTGCATATAAAATTTAGTCCAAATGTCCCTGATTTAGAAGGCCTTGCTTGATTTGACCCCAGAGCGAACATCCCGAAGGATTTTACTACAAGAAAATCTTGAGCAGCCCTCATCTTGGGTAGTAATTCACCCGCTGGCCGATTCTTCGGGATATGCTTGCTCCATGGGGTAAAATCAAGCAAGCTGCCGCAGGGCCGGCGCCACAGATTTCGGACTGCGGGGGCAGCTTGTCCCGATAAAGGGCCCATGCGGAAAGGCCCAAGGTAACCTATACACAAAATCTGAAAACTCCTCGGATTTGGCTCAATATTTTTTCGAGAGGGGCCCAAATTATGCAAAAATGCATGTTCCTGCAATTTTTTAAAGGGCCCGGCTGGCAACTGGTGGATGGGCGGCTTCCCCCTGCCCCCCCCCCCTGTGGCGCCGGCCCTTGCTCTGCTAAATCAGGGACATTGACATTTGGACTTGTGCACTAGGGAAATGAGTGCCAGAAATAGGGAAATTTGTGTGGGAATCTGGGGAAACAAAAAAAAAACAGGGGTAACGCTGGCCACGCGGATTCAGTCAAGGCCATCTATAGAGGCGGCGTTCGATGTCTCCCGGACGGCAAAGATTCTTTGCCGTCCGGCCAATAACGTCCAAGGTCAGCGGGGGCTCGGCTGCGGTTATGAAACGTGATTGGCCGGACGGCGTAGAATCTTCGCCGTCCGAGAGACATCGAACGCGGGGAGAGATTCAGTGTTTACCTTGGCTGATTCCGAAGGTCTATGAAGCTTGGCAGTGTGTGCATAATTTGAAGATATTGATTAATAATAGTCAATTTTATGGTTTCAAAGCTTACTTAGAGGCTATAGCTAGAGTGTATATGCTAGTAATGCTGGGCGTCCTTGGAGCCTACCTAGTGTTTTGCAAGGAAGTCTAGTGTGCGCCACATTTGCCAAGCAATTGACACGTGAGAAGTTATAATTTATGTGTGTGGTTTCAGTCGGGCACACTGTGATAATTCCGTTCCATATTTTTTTTATAAATTTAGTCCAAATGTTTGATTGGGTGGCTTGAGGGATCCGAGTCCACACTAAGCATAGCTTGTTGTACCTGTCTCTGAACAGTGAACCCACCACCCGATCACGCAATTCCAGTGCTATGGCAGAATTTCGTCTGAAAGTTTAACGTGCCCGGTAGACTGGACACGGTCCCCTCCGCCCACTCATGCTCTCTGGTCTTCGTGCGGCCCCTGCCACATACATGCACGCCATTACACGCAGGGGCCAAATGTTACCGCTCACACCTGCACTGGGGCTTGAACCGGGCTCTCACCACCAGTTCCAGCGTTGAACTCTGGCGCTTTAGACCACTCAGCCAGGAATGGGACTGGCCTTCTGGTTTTATCGAAACGTTCCTTTATTTGAAACATTCCTAAATATAGAAACACTAGGTAGGTTCTGTTCCAAAACTGGAAATGCTCAGAAACGCCAATCTTTCTGGGTGATTTATTTCAAAGCAAGATGTGTTATAACTGTCTAGATGGTGGACTGCCATCTATTTATATTGGCATCAAGGAAGCACTGCAGATGGAAATGCGGTGTCAATTTTTCCAAAACTTAAAATAACAGGCGAGCACGCACCTTCCGTTTCCACATACAGAAACCCTAATCCATATTTGGAACAATGATCACCTCAGCGTTTCTATCTATGGAACATTGTTTCTATATACTGAAACGTTTCTACATATAGTATATGGCACGGAATAACCACAGTGTGCTCAACTGGTTTGGTATCTGGAGCAAGGCCTCTGGAGCTTGTAATTTTTGTTTCATATTAACTATGATGTTGGTTGCTTCTAACTTAGTATTTTTGTGGAATTTCTCTCCACCCAGAATATCAGTTTGGTTGTTGGTACCCCTGATATTCTAGTTGGAAATCAGCATTGGTTCAATTTTGGTTTTACCTAAGATTTTCATCCCACCAACTTGTTCGAGAAACTCCACCCATGGGTGACACCGAAGCCTGTCAGTTGGGCAAACTGCAGGGAAGCAGTCCAAACATGGATTGATCAAAATTAAGATATGACATCACAAAAATGGGTGGAGCAATGCCCATATAAGGAGATGTAATTTATATTAATATTACAATTCTGACTTGCTCCCTTTCAAACCCCTCGTCACCAGTCAAAGTCCCCATGATGGTGAGATATTCACTGTGGTTAAAAGGAGTGAACAGCTCTATCTAAATGATGCATCTGATGATGATGTGTTGTGGCTTTTGCATGCTATTTCTGAAGATAGGAGAGGACATCTCTGAAAATTGGATTTCAACTGTCAAAATAATCTAAATTAAAATTCAGCATAATCTATTTTAATATTAGCCACCTGACAACGTCATCTAAAGCAGGTTACCCACTTGTTTCTGTCCTGGAATCAGGTGCAGATAATCTAAATTTTGATTATTTAATTTATCTTGTAGGTGGAATTAAAATATCTTCAAAGGTTCTTTTTTGCTTATGAGATGTAGCCTGAATTATTTTCTCTAGTATCTGAAGCTGTGGTAAGCTTGTCGTTTTCCAGAGCCGTGATTTAACCATTCCAGTGAGGGTCTGCAAGCATGCCCAAATATGGGCACAAATTGTGATGTAATAATCTAAGTTAAGATCAATCCATTTTAGATTTTTTCCCCTGCAGTTTGCCTGACTGCTGTGTGTGAGGCTGTAGCCCACTCTAGGCAGAGCACCACAACATATTTGTGCACAGGTTTTATGAATATAAATGACCTATAGAGTCATTCACTGGGTAAATCTTTGGGACCCACTCAGCTCTGAGCTCCACCCCATTTGCTCAAACCCAAACACTGTTTAAAGGCCCTGAGCAGGAACACCTTGCAGGCAAGTCCCTAAATATGCTTGCAGGTAGGTGGACCAAATGAAACAACTAGGGAAGGAGTATCAGATTTGGACAAAGTCCTCATCAAACCAGTGGGGGTAAGCTGGATGAAAGTAGGTAGAACTCGTTTAGCGTAAAGTATGTACAACCCAAATCTCATTTAAATAAATTTCAATTATTTAAATTTCACAATCATTTAAATTTCATTTAAATAATTGTGTTCCTATATCAATGTACAGATCAGCTTGGATCAGGCCAGTGTTCATTGCCTTGTTTTATATTATAATTTATAAGTTTGATTTTTATTGCAGGCAAGTGCACCAGAGCTTCTCTGTTGTTCGGCTCGATCATGCCAGTTTAAAACTAATAGAGCTTCTGATTATTCACAACATTTCAACAGTCATTTGAAATCTGCAGAAGAAGTCTGCCACTCACTTTGTTGTCCACTCTGCTCACAAGAGTTCACAAGTGGCCGTAACTGGTTAAGGCATTATAAAAGAGTTCACACTGTGGAAGTGCACAAATCACAGAAAAGGCAAGCCAACTCCTCAAGTACATGTGATCCATCAAGTGCTTCTTGCGAGGTGAATGAATATGGTGATGAGTGTATGCTGGAGAGCAGTGAGGCACCAAAGACTGAGGGAAGTAGGGAAAAGGTTGCCAAGATCCTCCTCAAATATCATATCGAGTATGGGCTGCCAAAGGCTGCAACCTCTCTTTTGGCCAGTGACGTTGGTGAACTGATAGATAGAGCTATCAGGGAGCAGTCTGAATGTCCGCCTCCTGGGCAGTCAGTAAAAGATGCATGCGAAGAATTTGAGAGTGAATATAAATTGACAAAATTCTGTCACGAGGACCTTGGGTACATTGCACCAAGTACCCTGGTTTTCACCTCGGGAGGCAAAGAACAGAAAGCAAGTTATCAGTATGTAGATCTGAAGAAACAGTTGAGGTTTTTGGTTGAGAATGGTAAACTGGAAGGCTGCAAAGAAAGCAAGGCAATCAAGCTGGTGATCTATTTCGACGATTTCGGAGTTTGCAATCCTCTGCGTAGCAAAGCAGCCAACTATTCCATAGGTGCTGTGTACTTTGCTGTTGATGAAGTTTCAACAATGTCAGCACTCAGTGACATCTACCTGCTTCTTCTCTGCCCTACCAAACTCATGAAGGAGCATGGCATGGGCACCATCATGAAGCCAGTAACTGACTCCCTCAGTGATCTCGTGGACCATGGTTTGGACGCTTGCAATGCGCATTTCTCCGTTTCTCTGGAGTTTGTCAGTGGAGACAATCTTGGAATCCACAAAGTCGCCGGGTTTCAAGAAACGTTTTCGTCGGGACCCCGCCCGTGCAGAACATGCTATGCCACTAATAATGAGTTCAATGAGAAGCTCACGGAGGAAGACTTGATACTGCGCACAGAAGAGCAATACCGGAAAGAACTGGATATGTTTGAAAGCGAAGGATGCGATGAGGAAACGAAAGGCACAGGAATCAAATCGAAATGTGTTTTCGACGAAATCAAAGGATTTGAGGTCACATCGATGTTCCCTCCTGACATCGCACATGACCTCTTTGAAAGCGGAGTTGTCACTCATTGTCTTGCGCTGGTGCTGTCATACTTGATATTTCAGATGAAGCTCTTCACACTCAGTGCCGTGCAGAAAGCAATGAAGTCGTTCACATACACCAGACCGCTATACCGCTAACCTAGTACGCTATATGGATCTAGCGGACCGGGCGCTCGAGCAGTGGCCAGCTCTGCTGCACGGCTTGACTTCAAGGCAGGCACTGGTAAGCGCACGAATGACATGAATTAGAAAAGCGCATGGATGTAGGATTTAATTTATGAAAAGCGCATGGATGTAGGATGTCATGGTGCCTCTGGGTGGTGGTCGGTGGATATGATTATATCGCAAATTTATTTAGGGACTCGATGATTTTACATTTTAAACGACATTAAAATGATAAAGTCGGCAAAAGATGGTTCTCTGGATGAAAGTGAAAATAATTTTGTTTATGTTATTTCGCTCGCCCGTCCCTCGCCGAACACGGCGGTTTACTGGTAATTTAGTGATTACATAGGATTCTCCCATTTTCTCTCCAGGAGCAAGTAAAAAACAAGATTCAATGGCGTGTGAGGAACTATAAACGACCGGACCCGGGTGTCATGGGATCATTCAAGCGGCCGGCCCAGGCGACAGCGGCGAAGAAGGCGAAGAAGTCCAGACGCTACGAAAACTTCTAGGGATATCAAGGTATGATTACGAGCGAGTGAGCGCAGCGAACGAGCGAGTTCTTTTGAGATTAATGGGAAAATCTGAGTATTCGCGACCCGGCCCGGCCCGACCCGACCCGACCCGGCCCCATCACGCTGTGCAGTGGGTGCATTTGCTCACGCGCCGGGGCTAAACGGCTGGGGGTAGGAGCCTGAAATTTGCACGGCGCCGAGGTGACGCTGCGAACCGGTGCACCGTGGTCGTTTCGAGTCGATGCGGGCCCGGGGAGGTGCGTGGCACGCGCTGGAAAAAAATGCATTTTCTCCCATTGCCTCAACATGGGAAAATGAAGGCAACGCGTCGTCAAAACGCCAAAATGAGGCCGGCAGGGGTCGCTTCCCGGGCCCGTAGCTCGGCGCCCCGACGGCCGATAGGCATGCGGCAAACGCTGCCCGATCGAGCTGGCGAATGGGGTGCGTGTCAGGGGTGTTGTGCAGCACGTGTGTTGCCAAGGGCTCTCCCGTTTAAAAAATACCCTGGACGCCCATGACACGGCAACCTGTGGTCCATGCTCACCTATGCCCAGTTCGCCAACTTACAGCCCATATGGGTCCCATTCGGGATGGCTCAATGGGTTATTTTTGGTCAAAATTAGCGAAAGATGACGTCACTGTACTCCCCTGGCGACCCGAAGCTAGGATCTTAAATTTTGTTTTAAAGATGTAAAATTGATGTCTGGTGGGGTATGCCAAATTACAAGTCGGTAGCTCTTCACATTTCGGAGTTATTCCAGGAAAACATGGGGGCGTTTCGCCCCCCCCCCTCTCCCCAGCGGGCCGCCTGTTAAAGGCCGTTTCTTGCTTCAAAAATAAAACACTCAAAAGCTGCCATTTTTACAGACTACCTCCCGCCGGAACCAGAGGAGGACATGCAAGTTCACAGGAATCGGCTAAGGCAAGAGGGACTAACCGAGGAAGAGCGGGAAGCGCTGCGAGACTTGACATTCGCGGACCGCCGTCGACACGCCGTGGCTCTCTCGACGCCAATGAAGAAGTTCCTGCACATGTACCCCATGATGAAGAATCACCAAGAGGTAAGTTATAGGAGGCAAGAAGGAGTCTTGTAAGAAGGAGTCAAGGAGGCAGTCTTGTAGAGTAATATTTCGCCGGGGAACCTTCATCGGTACCTGACTCGATTGAATTTGCAATAATACCTGCAATAATACTATCCCGAAATTCTTCCGATGCTGAGATGAGGCAGGGGTTAAGTTTTAATCTTGGCTTTTGCATGATCTCTCTGTCTGTCTGTCTGTCTGTCTGTCTGTCTGTCTGTCTGTCTGTCTGTCTGTCTGTCTGTCTGTCTGTCTGTCTGTCTGTCTGTCTGTCTGTCTGTCTGTCTGTCTGTCTGTCTGTCTGTCTGTCTGTCTGTCTGTCTGTCTGTCTGTCTGTCTGTCTGTCTGTCTGTCTGTCTGTCTGTCTGTCTGTCTGTCTGTCTGTCTGTCTGTCTGTCTGTCTGTCTGTCTGTCTGTCTGTCTGTCTGTCTGTCTGTCTGTCTGTCTGTCTGTCTGTCTGTCTGTCTGTCTGTCTGTCTGTCTGTCTGTCTGTCTGTCTGTCTGTCTGTCTGTCTGTCTGTCTGTCTGTCTGTCTGTCTGTCTGTCTGTCTGTCTGTCTGTCTGTCTGTCTGTCTGTCTGTCTGTCTGTCTGTCTGTCTGTCTGTCTGTCTGTCTGTCTGTCTGTCTGTCTGTCTCTCTGTCTCTCTGTCTCTCTGTCTCTCTGTCTCTCTGTCTCTCTGTCTCTCTGTCTCTCTGTCTCTCTGTCTCTCTCGCTCTCTCGCTCTCTCGCTCTCTCGCTCTCTCTCGCTCTCGCTCTTTCGCTCTCTCTTGCTCTCACACACTCTCACACACTCTCTCGCCCTCGCTCTCGCAGATACACGGCGCGCACGCACATGTTAAATTATTCCACAATGTTTCCAGATCTGGTACGAGCTGGAGAGGATCAGCGACGGACAGGGTTCCCGTCTTCAGGAATACCGGAAGCGATTGTGCGACTTCCTCACCGCTGTGCAGATGCACACTGAGTGCGAAGGTGAGACAACATATGCACATGGTTAAACATGCCTCTTTTCAGGGTTAACTGTCTTCATTAGATTTACATTTGAGTGAAGGTTAGCCGTATGTTGAATGGCCGAAATATGAAAAGTATAGGTACCAAAAATAAATGTATTTCAAGGACATCTCTTCTACGGTTCAATCAACATACGCTTATCTTCCACTCATTGATCCCACTATGCTCTTCATTCATGATTGTACTTTTTCATTTCATTATAGGCCTTTATACCTACCTTTGACGAGCCGCTCGATCGGCAGGCGCGGGTAGAAGCAACGCAGATTTTTCATGTCTTTTAGCCTCGGTAGGCGGCATGAATAATTTAGCAATGAATGATCCATCCACTTCTTCTAGTTCGGAAATAATGAGATAACCATTCGTTTTGCCATGCGCCGAACCCTCACATTTCACACCAAGGTATTGTTTGCAAGGTTGGGAACTAAAAGTAACTGCCGTTTGTTTCAGATGATGACAAGGTGGATTCGCTACTGGAATATCTCCTGGTGGATCCAGAGGAGATATTCGGGTCCGCTGGCAGCCAAACGATGCCGCACTTCGAGGAGAGCCCGAATGGTTCTCTGACACTGGTTGTCGAGGGCCAGCGGGTGGTCGAGGACGTGGAAATGACGCGCAGCGATGCCCTTCTGCTGTGGGCGGCGTCCTTCCCAGTGTATAACCAAAAGCCGCCCACAAAAACCGCAAAAAATGCACTCGCATTCCTGTCTGAGCAGGTTTTTGAGAAGGCCCGGGGCAGCGTGGTGGTTGGAAACCGCGCCCTGAAGCGTATTCAGCAGATCAAACAACTGACTGAATAAGCCCCTCACACACACACACACGACATCCTTTGATACAGTGCGTCTCAGAATGTTTACGTCGTCCGTGTTGTTTTGAATGTTTACGTGACGATGTTGTTCAGTTCCTGTTATAACTGAAACTGTTCCAGTTTCAGTTCAGTTCCTGGGTCGTTTTTTTTTTCTCAAAATGACACAGTTCCTGTCGTCTGTGTCGTTTTTAATGTTTACGTGACGATGTTGTTCAGTTTCTGGTGGACACCTGTCCTGGCAAGGCGGCGTTCGTTTGTATTTGCAGCTCAGAATGTGTGCTATAGTCATTCGCTCCAGGCATCCAAGTCGGTTGTTCGTTTGATGCATGGCGTCTCAGATTCGTTTGTGACATGGCGGCTCAGATTGTGACGCGAACATGTTTTGAATAGATATTTATTCACAATCGATGGCAACACAAATCGAATTCCTAAATCCAGACGTTTCGACAGCAGTGTGCCTTCGTCAGTGGCTAAATTAAAAATATATATAATATCAAAAACAATCGCTATAAGTCTTGTGTCTTGTATAATCTTGTATGCGTATCTTGTATCTTGTATGTCTTGTGTGTGAACGACTTATAGCGATTGTTTTTGATATTATATATATTTTTAATTTAGCCACTGACGAAGGCACACTGCTGTCGAAACGTTTGGATTTAGGAATTCGATTTGTGTTGCCATCGATTGTGAATAAATATCTATATGTCTGATAATTTACATGTTTTGAATAAAATGTCGACAAGTTTCGAAACATAATGTGTGTAAAAGTGCAACGTGGGAGTTAAATATCGAAGACAAAAGGTGTGTTATTCGACACATATTTTGTTAGTAAGTGAAAGTATCTAAACGAGTTTAAAAACACGGTAATAAGGTATATGTGTGTAATTGGAAAACACGCTTGTCCGAGAAATACGTGTTAAGTTTACTCACCTTTGGTTAGTGAGATTTGCCCACACTACTAACTTCATGTTTTTCTTAGTTATTCTGCACACATTTTGATAGTAAGTCAGCGCTCTAAGAGAGTTTTAAAACACGGTAACAAGGCATACGTGTGTAATCAAAAGTGAGTAAGAAACCTGACAGGTGAGTTTCAAAACACGCCATCATCGTATTGCGTGTTCTGGTAAACACACTTATCTCAGAAATGCGTGTTAACTTTACACACCTTTTGTTAGTGAGATTTGCCCACATAACACGAAGTGTGTAAACATTTTTTACAGTGTAGTGTACATATGTTATGTTTGTTTGTGTATGTTTGTTGTCATATGTTTGTATCGTGTATATATTCTCTGTACCTAATGTGTCCGCCACTGCGCGTGTGGACCTCCAGGAACTGTGCACCGTTCTACATGATAGCGCATGCGCACTATTCGTTACCACTTGGTACTGTTAGTACAATGGTCGCCCAATTGTGTGCAAATACATTCGACTTCTAACTGGAGCAGGACTTTGAAGAAGAGAGGCGAAAGGAAGACGGAGGAGGCTGAAGGCTGACGACGGAGAGACACACGCACAACCGACCTTCAAGGTCGCACCGAGCTACGGTCGAGCGAGGTGGGCAACACGCCCTTAAAGACGCCTCTGATTGTAGCCACGCCGGTACCCCTGGTCGGACCCGGTATACTGACACGGACCTTGCCACTGGCTCTGGCTCAGGCTGTCTTAGCGGACACGCCTGCCAGTCCAGACGCTCTCCTAAGAGCGAGTGCTCGGCTACCGCCAGTCTGCCGGGCCCAACAGCGTTCTGCTGACACCCACCGATACCGCTCGCCGCACCGCAAGTGCCGCAGCGATTCGGGCGCTCCAGGCGAGCGTAACGGGAGTCACACCAGTCCGCGCCGCCAGGCTCTGCCCGCTGTTGTATTCACGGACGGCCCTTCTTTAGATTGCTGACACAGATTCCATAGATTGCACAGATCAGCAGGCCGTCCGTAGAATTACACTTACATGATAGCGCATGCGCACTATTCGTTACCACTTGGTACTGTTAGTACCAGGGGGTGTCGAAGTCTAGTAGGAAAATCTGGCAAATTCCCTGCGTGACGTCACGTCGGGGATGACCGACGGCACCTTGCACTGAAAGATACGGCAGAACGGCTATTTTTGAAAAATGATAAAAATACTTTTGTGCTGTTATGACGCATAAAACGCTTATCAGCATGTTCCTCATCATGTGATAAAGGCATATCCGTGGTCGAAAATAGCTGAGCCCCTCCCAATTTCCAACCACCGACCTCATAAGCAAAGGATGTAAGCGTAATCCTTAAGGGCGACTTTCCTATACATATCCGTACATATGCGTCCTTATGGAAATCGGTAGTGTGGCGATTGGCGACGCGCGCGACATCTGTGTGGCGACCAAGTGGCGACTGTGGCGACACCTGGTGGCTGCCTTTCTGCTGTATGTAGGCATTGGGGTTTTGCCAGATGTGGTTCCTACTGCTACACCACTATGTTGACCCAATACTAGAAAAGTTATTTTGCTAGTAAAAGGCAAGCAAATTGAAAGTTGATTTATAAAATTGCTTATAAATGATTACGAGATAATAATAAAGAAATTTTGATTGAATAACTATTCAAATAATCAACCGTGAAACTATATTCTGGTAGGTTTAGTAGAAATAAATCCGTGCAACCTTGTATTTAGGGCCTTGGTTAGTACAATGGTCGCCCAATTGTACTAACAGTACCAAGTGGTAACGAATAGTGCGCATGCGCTATCATGTAGAACGGTGCACAGTTCCTGGAGGTCCACACGCGCAGTGGCGGACACATTAGGTACAGAGAATATATACACGATACAAACATATGACAACAAACATACACAAACAAACATAACATATGTACACTACGCGATCGGGCACAGCTCGTCACTACAACCCCCCACAAAGTTGGTACTACCCTCTTACCTTGGTACTACCTACGACCCCCTCGCGTTTGGCCCCTGCTCGAGTTAGTGCTTCGTGGAAAAAACGAGCGCGTTGCCCGTCACGAGGCGAAGCCGATGATACCTGATTTTAAGGTCCTAGGTCATCGGTTGACCTTCCAGGTCAGGTCAACGACCCAAAAGTCGGGAAAAGCGGGACATGTTAGAACGTCGTAAAGTGTGGCTTCTAAGTGTTTTTTTTCGTGGTGCTAATCACGAATAGCTTGTTAGTTTTGATCACAGATGATGTCTTTATGCATTTAGGCCAGGTCAGGTCAGGTCAGGTCAGGTCAGGTCAACCAGTAGGGGTCCTGCTGTGTATTCGTAGTACGTGTTAACCGCCTCTGACAGCTTCGTAACATGTTACGAAGGCACCAAAACTGCTTCGTAAATGTTCAAATGGTTGCTGAATTCGAATTCAGCTTCAAAAATAGCCTAGAAACATGTAAAACGCGAAAACGTGGACCGAGGTCATCAAAGGTCAATGACCTGATCTGACCTTCAGGCTTCAGGTGACCTTGACATCCACCCTAATGAATGGAAGTTACATCAAATCACATAGTTGAACGCTTGAAACCACGAAAAAAAGGCAAACGCGCGGCTAATGCGAGCCGACATACGCGGAATCGTGATTCCGGCCAAACATGGTCTCGGAAAATTGGTCACAGATCAGAGGTCATTTAGGTCAGGGTCATGAAATTTGCAGGGTAGGTGTAAGATTGATCAACGCAAGGGTACTGAAAGTTTCGTCGCGACTGGCCGCTTTTTAAGCGAGTTATTTGCGAACAACCTTAGGGGGGGGGGTGCATCAACCACTCCCTTTTACCCCCCCCCCCCCCCCTGTGCCGGCGAGGGTTAAAAGTGGCCATGGCAATGCTCATATCAGACTTGTTCTCTGTACGAGAGGCTGACGGGCGCTCACACTCCAGCCTGGCTTTGCGTCCCTTACGGCTTCTGGCGTCCCTGCAAGCTGGTAGGGTTGTCCCCAAGATACTGATGTTGTCCCTCTATACTGGCACCCCGCGGCCTTTGGCTAGCGATGGTCGATCGGCGCTGCAAAGTGTGCGCCCCCAGTGGACTCAACAGTCTGCTAGAGCTTATTCTGACTCACCGTTCCGTGCTTCTATCCTCAGGATACTGAAATCCTTCTCTCCAACGCCGCAACCCCCCTCCGGGCTGGACAGGCGACTTTATCTCATGCGGGCTGCTCCCTTGGAGCGGCACCGCTGCTCCCGAGGGAGCGCACCCCGTAGCCGGGTGCAGTGAGTGCCTTGGGGCTGGGTGGCCTGTCCTCTGGACGGGCTCAGCCCCGGCGACTCACTAGGGTGCCTGCCCAGACCAATGTCTCCCCCTATATCCTATCATCCTCCCGGCTCTGAAATGGTCTCATTGGACCGAAAGGGCCTAACCCAACAAAACAAACAAACAAACAAACTTATTCTGACTGTACCCCTGGTACAGTCTGCTAGAGCTTATTCTGAACTTCCTTTCCTTCCAATCCATCGAATGAGATGGGACTGGCCAAAGGCTTTAGTTCCAATATGGGTTGCACACAGAGGGAACTTGGAGAAGTCCCTAACCTGAGTAGGTCAGGCCGAAGCAAATCACCTCTCCACTTTTTGCTGAGGAGTATTTTCTAGTTTTTCTCAGGGTCAACAAAGTTTTTGCTATGAAGTCTTGAATTGTCCCCTCGAGCGTAGTGGGGCCAGGACGCCAGACTTTCAAGAGTAGGTACTTTCAAGAGTCCGACATTTATTTAGCAGAGCTTGCTCCGCCGTCGATTTTTTGCCTGGATGGTACTGCCACCTAGCGTCGAGACGCGTAACCCTTAGTACGAATTGGGCTGTGAAGGTGGCATATTAGGAGATGGTGAAGCGTAACCTGGATTCATGGCTTCTAATTTCATGGATACAGGATATCTCTTGTCTCTGCATTGGCAATGCCAACGAACCGATTGCAGGTCTGCTGGAAAGTATTGTCACAATTACCTTGCCGAGATGAGCAAATTCCGATTTCATGGATGAGATGGGAATTTGGAATTCGATGAGAAACTGAGAAGGAAAGAAATGCGTGAAATGGACAATGGACATTATGTACAATCCCGTTTCCCTATTTCGTATACGCCCCTTTCATCCTCAGGACCAGTTCATGGTCATAAGACATCCTAAATGACATTTCCATGTCCTGAACTGACAGCTGCCTAACTCAGGCAGTCGGTGAAGGCAGGTCTCCTGCAAGGCAAGAGCACATCCTTCCAGGGTGACCGCGTCTAAGCGTCTGCCCCATCCCCGATCGGGACAGGGCAGTCCCACCCAGAGATGGGTTCAGCCACTGCGGCGGGACAGTTGGGCGACGAACCGTTGTCCAATGTCTCCCCCCCCCCAATGTCGAATCTCTCCTCTGATCCCACGGGTCTGCAATAGTCTCAGTAATATTTTGTCATATTTCGATTCAGTAGAGGATTCGGTCACTAAAAATATGCTATTAGGCCATAAACACAGTACAAAAAAAAACATATGGTGTCACAAATGCCAGAACTTATTTTCATTGGGGTTGACGTTGTAGCTCATTGCTGAGCGAAGGGGAACACGATTATTATAATACACTGGCTGACTTTTTATGATAAGTGATCACTGCTACTCCCTTCATCCTCATTTCCTCCCACATTGAAGCATGAGCTGAGGGACACGAAGGAAATATGCGAGTGTGTGATAAAGGGAGGATGGTATGTATTAACCAGTATAGCGCCTTTTGGGGCGACTAACGGAGCGAGCGAGGGGGTGAGTCTTGCACGTGCGAAATTTCGAGGGGGTACCTCCAACTGA